AATGGCTCCAATGTGCAGAATTGGCTCAGAGACAAGCCCAAGGGTGGAAACCCTGCGGCCTCTGTCTGCAGCAGCTTCCAGTGGCTGCTTTACCTTGCAGGATGTCAGTGATGTTTTTGTTCTTAACATGGTGAGAAGCAGGCGCCATTTTAAAGTGAGGGAGGCAAAATGACAGATTATTTTGGCATGAAGGCAGTGGGTGCCATTTTAAGTGCTTTAATACCAAGGGGCCCTGTTTAACAGCACAGACCTTGAGGGCAGCTGTTTCTTCCACCCAGGTTATGGCTTCCAATGCAGGGGAAGGGGCAGTAGCCTCCCCCCGGGCTTCTTCTCCAGTTGATAGCCCTGTGGCTGGGCCTTCTTCAGCCAAGCCTGCCAGGAAAAGAGGGGTAGCTTCTGACAGATCTGAGGAACCTCCTGCTAAAGCAGCCAAGGCAGCAAAGAAGGGTGGAAAGCGACACCACAAGTCCTCAGTGCACAAGGCTCCTTCCAGCAAGGACAAGCAGAGAGAGCCTTCATCCATTTCAGATGCTCCCAGTTTCCCCAGGTAGTCCTCCTCCTGCTGATCTTTCTCCAGATTCGGATGATGCTCCTTCTTCTCTTGCTTCTCCTTCTCAGTTGGGAGATGGAACAGGGGTATTTGATTCCCTTCCTAATGGGGATGAATCCCTTGATGGTACAGGCCCCTCTCCTGAGGCAGATCAGCCCTTTTCCTCCCCAGGGTTTTTGGGGTTTTAACCGACCCCTACTGTAATCCCAGATGTGGCTGCCATTATAGCCTCCGGTGTTGGAAAAGGTATAGCTGTGGGGCTTCAGCACAAGGGATCTTCTAGACACAAATCCAAGCCGGATGGTTCCAAATCCAAGAGTAGGAAAAAGCTTTCCTTAGGGAATGTCCCTTCTGAACATTCAGCGTCTCAGCCTTCCACATTGGGGGATGAGGAAGAGCAGGGTCCCAGAGATTCAGACCTCTCTGGAGATGAAGATCTGGGCCCAGACCAGCCTGCATTTGTGGGTTTGTTTAAGCCCACTCTGATTTGCTCCTTATTGTTTAAGAAGATCGCGGGTTTCAAATCTTCTCCAGTCCCCAAGGCTACCGTGACTGAATCAGGAGATTCTGAGGATCCACTCTTTCTGGAACCTACGGTGGAGAAGGAAGTTGTTCCTTCTCCAAGAATCTTCATGGATGTGGTGCAGAGGCAATGGGCCAGTCCTGGCTCGATTCCTTTGCCCAATGCCCTAGATAAATGGCTGTACAATGTAGGCCCAGCCCTAGTCAAGGCTCGAGCTCCCTTCTATAGACCCTCTGGTGGTGGCACTAGTCTTCTCCAACGCAGTGGCTAGCACTCCTGAGGATTCTCTCAAACCAGAAGACAAGCGTCTTAAACTAACGCTTGTCAAGGACACCAGGCCTGGGCTATTCGAGCCTCCACCTCCGCATTGTTTTTAAGCAGGTCGGCTCTCCTTTGGCTTAAGCAACTACAGGGCAGAATTCCCAACAGAGATTCCAGGGCCCATCGAGATATTAATAAATTGAAAGCAGCACTAGAATTTTCAGCTGATGCTGCACTCAATGCTGCATGTTTTGCTTCTAAAGCAATTGCTGATGCTGCACTCAATGCTGCATGTTTTGCTTCTAAAGCAATTGCTTCCACTGTTACTTCCATGTGCTTGTTGTGGCTTAAGCATTGGCAAGCTGATGCCAGGGCCAAGTGGAGGCTAACCTCATCCCCTTTNTAATCATAAGCATGCACTCTTTATCCTGACTAGTCCTATAACAGCACTTTTCCTAATCGGCGATCATGCGCATAGTTTGAATTGTATCCTATCTATTAACTGTTGGGTTTTTTTGTTTTTTGTTTTGCTGTATCATCGGTATACCTTGCCAAAGTGAATGATCGTACATCTGAAGTGGGCTTCAGTCTACAAAAGTTTGTTCAGTAATGAGAATTTGTCTGTAATGTGCCACAAGTCCTTGTTGATTTGCTCACATAATATAATTGATTTTCAGGATCCCATAAGCATCTTTATTTTGCTCTCACAATGGATTAAGTGTGTAACAAATGAGTATTTTACTTTCGTTTGAAAATAAAGCTGTCACCTTCAGTTGAAATGATCGTGTATGTTTGCATCAACACACAGGAAATGAAAAAAGTAGTGATTATTTTTCCTAGATCAGGAGATCTTAGGCTTCTGTTCACTGAACAGCATCCTCCCTATATCACTGTCAACACTGGTCACTTTGGATGGAACATTAAAATGTGGCTTAATATGGCATACATTAGGTCTTGATGTTCTGCCCTATCTGTGGCATGTCTATAATTTGAGCAATTTGAAAGCTTCTACCAATATAACTGAGCCCAGAAGTATAGTGATATATAGTTATAACAGTATCGTTAAAATTTGGTGAAAGAAGCCAACTTTGAACCAAAGTTTGTAATCCTTTTAAACAATGACTTGTGTTTAGAAATTTGACTTTTTAATCAGAGAAGAGAATCATGAGTCTCAGGCTTATTCTCACAATGCATATCTATCATTTGATCTTTCTTTTGAAATGGCCAATGTACAATATCTCAGATCTTAGTTCAAAGTTTTATTTCAAAACCTTGGCGTTGAAGTCTTGCACCGTGCTTAAAGTTTGAAAGCAAGACACTAATCAAACAATGGCTTTTGAAATTCATATGGACCCATTTTCAAACCAATATAGTGTACTATGCCTTTTATAGCTATTTCTTTGTTTGGGAAATGTTATGCATCTAATTTATTTTAGAAGTATCAATTAATTTATAGGAAATAGAAGTCTCAAATACATTGGGGGTTTTTCTCTCTTGTTTCTCCTGTTTTCTGTACTGAATATTAACTTGATATAAAATAAAAACTGCAGCTAATATAATTCTCATAAATGGATGGTTGCAACATCCAGCATATTGTTAGTTTTGGTATAGTAGACAATTATTTGTGCTAGATTCAGCCTCTATTATTTGAATTCTGTTCCTAGAACAGGGATTACAACATTTTGGTTCTACTTTTACCTTCTGTGAATTCCTTCCTTAATTTTTTTCCAGAAGATGAAAGCTCTGAAATTGCATGAAAAGTACACAGGGTAGCAGGCATAGGGAAAATAAGAGAAAATGCTTCTTCCCTTAACTTCTACTTATAGAATACTCTTCTCTCTGTGCTTATGCTCCTTCCATGAAACAGTACTTTAAGTTCTACCTATTGTTTTTGTCTTTGTCTTTTTTTTGTATGACAGTGTCATCATGAGTGGCATGATATTGTAGGTCTTTACTCAAATTTTTACTCAATTCCTGAGCATGCTTAGCTCCGCACTGAATGCTTGTGCTGTGCTTTTGGCTAAGAATGTGATGTTTGAGCTATGGAATCCTATTCAAATATCCCATCAGGCACAATTTGGGAACTCTTGTGTGTCAGCTCCACATGCTGGGCTATAAGGGTGCTAGGCTGCTTTAGGATTTCTCTAAAGAGAATTAACAACATTTATGACTTGCTTTGAATGCTTGATAGGTTCATTATAAATACTTATAGCCATTAGTTTTATTGTTGGGCGTTATAGAGTAGCCAGTGTTGTTTCCTGTTAATTCAATATCAGACATGGAGTACGTCATCCAATGAATTTCTTTGAGTATCCTTATGTAGTTGAGCAAAGATTTCCGGACTAGGGGATTCTTGTCCCAGTATACATAAATCTCCTCTATTATCCAGAGGGTATATCCATTCCTTACATCATACCAAAAACATTAGCAAAGCTGTAACTATCACAGCATAAGCCTATACTTATCAACAGTTAATAGAAGATGTTTGTTTCACTAGATTGATTTTAGCTATTAGATAAGGTTTACATAGCCATTGTAAATAATGAAAGTCATCCTGTACAAAAGATGTATTACTTCCAAAATCCTTTTCTCCTGTAGATCGATAATAAAATAATTACATTTGAATTAATAACTGTGGTTCCAACTGGGATGATATCATATAATGTATGTACATTGGTGCTGTGTTGACCTTCCATGAAGCTTACAAAACAGCTTGCAAAGATAACTTTCCCCAATTCTTTTTTCCCCTGCCATTATCTTGATTATCTAATGGAGCATCTTCTCCTCCATTATTACTATCAGGGTAATAATCTTATTTTCCTCTCTGATGTTGTCCCACTTGGTTTCTTATGGATCTTCAAGAACGACGCTCACTATATTCGATATATACCTCAGACTTTCCCTAGATTAACTCTTTCAGTTTTCCCTTTCTCTTAATTCTTTTCCCTAAGAGACATGCCCACTTTTCTGTCACACTGTAACTTTTTTAATAAAATATTTTATGTTTATTAGCAAATACAAATTATAGCTTTTGGCATTAGGTATTGATACTATCAGTATGACTTTCAGCTATTCAAAAATTTGAAATCATAATTGTAGAAGGTATTGTCTATGATGGAAAAAATTATGAAATTGCATGGTAGCTCAGGTGTGAAAGTTCATGTCTCTCTCTTTAAATTGTTTCAATATTCAGAAGCTCTTAATGAGAATGAGATAAAGAATAGTTTCTTCAGTGTTGTTGAATTAATTTCTTACTTGTTTAAATGATTATGTCAAGCATAAGTTAAATAGTGAAACTGAATGCTTTTTTTCTAACAATTTATTTTCCATGCAGCTACAATACTATACCATACCACAAATTCATAATGTGCTTATAACAATGTTGCATACGTTCATATAACCAACAAGAAATTTACATATGTTTCCAGTTAATATACTTTTAATGATGTAGAGTTTGTTTCCTTCCAAAAATATGCCAGTTGGCTAATACTAATTTGTTATAAATATTCTATTTGTCATTGTAACATTGTTTGTTTTTGCAAAGTACTAATTGTAGTATTGTATGGCAATACTGAAGATGCTTATGTGTGGGTAGTGCACGTCATTATTAATTTGACCATTTTGCATGTCATTGATGCATGTTTGAAATTTGTTGTGTCCTTTAAGGCATGATAGGTGGCTATCCACCAGTGCTGCCACCTTTACAAGGCCCAGTTGATGGCATTGTTAGCATGGGCAGCATGCCACCACTTCACCCTGGGGTGCCTCCACCCCATCAACTTCCACCAGGCATGCCAGGCATCCCACCACCGGGTAAGAATGAACCTCCTCATTCATTCATTCATTATCTCGTCTTTTTGTTCTCACCCCATTTAATCAATTACTCCAGGAGAGGTTTGCAGTGAATGCACTTGTAGCTCCATTGCTTGACTTTTACTGACTGTCATAGGTCTTGGATATTGAGCTGTTAATGTGAAAGTACAAAAAGAAATCTCTTAGATATAGATAATACATATACTGGTATATTAAAATTGTTGGCAAAGCAACATATGTGGTCAGTCCAACATCAAAAGGAGTTAACTAGTAAAATGTAAGCACGCTTCAATTAGTGCTTAAGGGCTTGACTTGACCAGAGATGTGGAATATATATTAAAGGCTTATATTTTCCATTCCCTGTGAATATGTCAGAAGTCTTGTTTAAACTGGACTAAATCCAACTAACTCATAATACCAAAAGAAATCATTACCTCAGTCTTTTTTTCACTTCTACCTTTTAATATTGCAATCACTTCAAATCTGTACAGTATCTCCTGTTTTCAGCTACTTGATTTAATAGTAGGTCAAGTAAAAGTATAACCCATGATTATAATTTTTTTCAATACACTATTTTGTATACTATATTCTAAACTGAAGACTTGTCCAAGAATAAAATCAGTTCCTGTAGTAGTTAAATGTACTTTTTACATTTGCCCTGAGCATTGAAGTACATTTTTAGTTACTATACATTCCTGGCTTACATACTTAAAATTATATTGCATTATCTATTATGGTGAAAGTAATATTAACCAAAAGTTAAAGATTATTTAACTTTCATTTCTATTCCTATCTTTTTTAAAAATATAGATGCACAGGGAGTTATGAAAACCCCAGTTACTTTACTCTTTTTTCCCCTGCTGCTAATTTTTATTTTGCCTTTTCTGCATGCATTGGATAAATTTAGGTAGAAACTAATAAAGATTATGTTTGCATGTCATACTTAACTGTAAACAAGTGCTTCCAAACTATCCATCAGTGGTTTGGCAATAATTAAGCATGGTACTTGAACCCAGATATACCTTGTGGTTTGTAATAACCAGGAATGGTTTCCATGCTACATTTGGATGACTCATTTATTTATTGTAAAACCACAAATGAGTTGTTTGAAAACCACAGTTTTCCATTTCAGGTTAAAGATGACGTGCATACAGTCAGAATCTGTGTCTCTCAGCAGGACTTGATCAGAAGTCTCCTGAAAAGTTATTTATTGCAAGCAGAAATATTTTTTAACATTCTATAAATAAGGTGTACAAATGTGAGCATTTATAGCAGAATAATAACAATAAATTATAGCATACATTTCTATGGTTCACAGTTTACTGTTTACTAACTGCAGCAAGTATGCTTCTCTGTTCTTAAGAAAATTCTGAATTATCTCCTTAGATAGAAATGGTTGTTTAGTTAAATTGCATATTTGATTTTAAAGGATAAACTAGAGCAGAATTCTCACAAAGCCACCTGAAAGTGCTGGGAAGTATTGGGAAAATGACCAAGCACAAACCATTGGGCTCACCATGCAATGCTGTATTGAGTACTTGCACAAGTTCCATTGTAGTTATGCTTGGGAGTTATTTATGAATCCAGCGGAAGGGATGTTATTTATTACCGGGTGAAGTTAATTAGGTGGAACTCAAAAACAAAACACACCCCAGACATCCAGATGACACGATTAATGATACTGCT